TAGTTTATTTCATACAATTTGGGTGCACAGATTGTGCTTGAAATCTGAAATTTGGTATTAGGGTTGCTGTTCATGTGTAGCCTGGACATATGGAGGTGGATTCGGAAATGTGTACTCTAATTGAATGAAAAGTTCTGAGTAGAGCTGACATTGTGAAATTTAATATTTAGATACTGATGGTATCTGTGTTTGAGATTTGGCGGTGGTTTGGAGAGTCGTCTTATATTTTAACGAAAAATACTCAATGGTACTAAATTTTCTATTGGGTGAAGGAAGGATCTGGAATCCAGAAATTTGAATTTGAGATTTGAAGGTGGGTTTGGAAATGTGTAGTATAATAGTACGAAATGAACTAAATAGTACTAAATTTGATATTGGGTAAAGGAAGGGACCTGGAATTTGATATTAAGGTATCCGTCGATTTCTGGGATTGAGGTTTAAAGGTGGGTTTGGAAATGTGTAGTATAATCGTTCGAAAAGTACTCAGTGGTACAAAATTTGGTTTTGGGTGAAGGAATAGAGTTTAAACATGAAATTTTATATTTCGATAACTATTGGTGTCTAAGATTGAGATGTGGAAAGGTTTTGTGTACTGTAATTGTACGGAAAGTACAAAATCTGGTATTTAGTGAAGGACTGGAGCTGGAATCCAGAAGTTTGATATTGAGGTTTCTTTTGGTTGTTATACCCTACAACACTATGTGTTTGATATATATTATTACTAGCTGGCCCAGTCCGCGTTGCCGGCCCTTACTTTTAGTCTTTAATGCATATTTTTTTATAAGTAAAATAACTCCATAGTAATTTCTAAATAGAAATAAACATTCATGGGAAAAATTATAATAGATAATAATCTACCGTCGGTTTTAGATATTTTGAATAGCCTGATCTTATTTTTCTTTCTTATAATTGAGTGTTAAAAACCTGTATGATATAGAACTTCTGTAATAGCCCCATGTGAAAACTCAGCTAAATTTTTGGTATTGAATTTCCAATGTTAAGAATACCGTGCTGCGTGGTATTTAGTTTTGTCCACCTCATAATTGAGGGCGGAATGATTTCAAAATAGTCAAAGATAATTGCTTTTTTACATCCATTACCGTGAAATATTAATTAATTTATTTTTGTCATATAAATTGTGAGTTGGAGAACCCATAAAATCCATATTTTTCATCATAGTATAATTCAATAACGAACAAAAAAATTAATATTCGTGATTTTTTCATGTTTCTGCCACAATTTGATATTTCGGAGTTTATGGCATGTAGATGTTAATCCCACATCTACGTTCCCCACCAATATTCTCTTGGGAGTTTCAAATTCAATAGTATATCAAATTTTCTTTTCTGACCAAACATTGGTTAGGAAAGCGGATTTGTGGGTACACTAATGTGAGAACTATACTCGAATAAATGCCTATGTGGACAATTATCTGAGGGACGATTCTCTACCCCAGAGTTGCCTAAATACAATTTTTTAGCCAAATCAATTGATGAATGTGGTCAAGTCCAAGATGGACTCTACTCCGAAAATTGAAAATATTATGAGAAGAGGTTTTTTACACCCTTAGAAACAAAGATGCCAAATAAAGGCCTAAAGATGAAAAAAATGTCGAAGACCCCGAACATGGCTTAAATTATATGATGGTTATACCAAAACATGATCATATTTTGCGAGGATGGTTTCTTATCAAATTAAAATGAGTGTGAGAAAAATGTGGTTAAAATGTAAACAATACTTGAAATAGGGTTGTACCCTTATCCGGGGGTCATATATCATGACCTGCAAAAGCGATTTAAGACATCTTGAAAGTTTAGGAACAATTTCTTTCTTTTTTCCTAAATGTCCAATTCGCTCTACCATTTTGCACCCTTTATATTCGGTATTTCACTGACTGCAGTTCCAATGAATTGCATTTTGAGTTCTCATTGGGCGGATTATTGCCATATGAAAGATGTAGGTCCACGTAGGTCACTCATTTTATTTTAAATATTATTCATTCAGATTTCAAGGCAATAAAAAATGTTCACTTCAATATAGTATGTCAAATTGAAAAAAATCACACCAAAAAGAAATTTGTTATTAATATTTTTATTGGATACCACTCCAAAATTGTATGAATTGTCAAGCCGTTCTTTAGTTATACCTTATGTACTTTTTTTCCCCGATTTGAGAATTTTTGCAATGAGATCTCTTTTTTCAAGATTTTTAGAAATTTTGACTTAAATTTGGTGTGACCGCGTTAAATTATTTCGATAACATCTATTTCGTTTCGCCACCACATAATTTGGTACTACACTTCAATGTAACCCGGCTTCTATTTCAGTTCTCAAGAAATCGAGTCAAAATAAATTGGTATTAATATTCGAATCAAAAAGAAAAAAAAAATATTATAAAAAACACTACAAATGTACATTCGAAAAAAGTAAGTCAAAATAGAAAAAAAACATACAAAATAAAACATTACGATTGTACATTTCAGAAGTCAAAATGAAAATGTTAATATATCACATTTTTACGCGATTTTTTTGAATATTATCCTTTTCGGAAAAGAGACAATTCAGAATTTGTATGAATCGTTAAAATCAGATCAGCGGTTCTTGAGTTATAAGCGTAGTAACTAACACAACTTACATTTATATATATAGATAAGTTTGATTGGGCCAAAAATTATGTAACACCACGAAATATTGGTTTCCCACATAGGAAAGTATATATGGATCTTGCTATCTCGCCGAGCTGAGTCGATCTAGCTATGTACGTCCGTCCGTCTGTTCATGTTAATTTTTAATCACTCCACAGGTCGCAATTATTTTCCGATCTTCACGAAATTTAGAATAAAGGTGGTGATAGGGTTAGAATAGAACCCTATTTCTTTTGGAGATGATCGCATAATATTTAGGGGTTGAAATGGACCAAAAACTGAAAAATTCCTGATTTTGCAGTTGCTATACAAGTCGCAATTATAGACCAGTCGACGCGGAAGTTAGCATGGGACTAGAGCTTAGGGCTGGGCAGAAGCCTGATGGTCATCGTGTAATATTTATTGGGTGAAAAAGGCTATGACATTTGAATTAAATAAAATCAAATTTCCATTAAACCGCGAATATTTTTAATCCCGGCGAAATCACAAATAGACGAACAGGTCAATCCGGACCGTTACGTAGATGCCGATAGTAAATATTTAGTATATATATAGCGAAATACAAAGGAAGGGGATGTTAGCAAAAATGCTTATATCTCAAGAATGGGTGGACCGATTTTCACAAATTTTGTTAATGCAGAATGCCCTCATGACATAAAAGGACAAAACCTAAAAAAAAAAACGCAAAAAGGCGCCAATAATGACATTAATATAGATTTTTTAATATTTTGTGACATATTTTCATTTTTCATATTTTTTATCGCATGCGAGTTTTTCAAATTGACTTATAATATATATTGTATATTTTGTAATATTTTTTCACCTTACAACACAGGTCGAGGATATTGTATATATAATGCAATTATCGTCCGATCCTCACGAAAAGGGTAAGGTTAGGCTCAGAATGGCTAGGCCTATTGTTTTCAAAGATGTCCGCAATGTATTTAGGGCTTGAAATTGACCAACAAAAAATGTTCCTGATTTTGCAGCCGTTGTAATACAAATAGAAACCAAAGGATACAAAATCTCGCATGAAGTTAGAATTTAGGACTCTGGGTAGAATGGACCACTACTTTGTGTAAAAAATACCTGCATTACTTACAGGCGATATCCGACGATAGCCAAATATCGTAGACAAGAAAATCATATAGATGAGTCTAAATTTGGAGATTCAGAGTGGCCTCTTGCTTTTGGAGATGGTTCAAATGAACGAAAAACAGAAAAAAAATCCTGATACACAATTGGAGCCATTGACATGCCTGGGAAGAGCGATAAGGACAGGGAGGAATTCTAGCATTTTTGCACAACAACTTACAACACGACATAGTTCGTAAATATTGGGCAAATGTCCCTGTTCAAAATGCTAGTTTCAAACGCGAAATCTTCCAAAATGGATTAGGACATAAGAGGGCTTCTAACGTGTTGTAGGGTATCACTTGGTCGGCCCCGCCGCGACTATAGCCTTTGCTTACTTGTTTGGCATGAGAATGTTCGAAAAGTTTGGGATCACTGTCGGAGAGGATGGATGATATGTAAATTGTTTTGGGATGAGCGTAAATGTTACTATTTTTTATTGAATTGAGCTGAAATGTTGAAACTTGATATTGAGGTGCACGTATGGATAGCTTTTGATAAAAAAAATGGAAAAAAATATTCTCCTCGGTTAAAAAAACTCAAATAATATATGAAAGCTTGACAGTCTGCAAACATAGTACGATGCATAAAGTTTTGACAAAAAATATATACATAAATTTTTATAATTCACCCAGCTGTCGAAAAATTTAGCTTACAAAATTAAATGTATTGCAGTTATGGATCAACTGAAATGAAAAACGTTAGTAGTATGTGTCCCTTCAAAAAGAAAAGCGATGATCTTTAGTTACAGCTTCCCAATCTAAGTAACTAAATCCATTTATTCACTCGAGTCTTTGCATGTCTCTAATGGTTTTTACTGCAATCAGATGTCTAAAAAGCTTAACTTAGAGTTTAGGGTGCCATAACGATCCTTTCCATCTCGAAAAAATAAAACCCTATTTGATATTACGAATATAAGAGTTGTTTGGACATATTGAAAAATATGAGATTAGATTAAACACTTCAAAAATTTAGCAGATTTTCTATCTACCATTGAAAAGTTAATTATCAAGAAATTATGTTTCTTCAACTCAGTGGGATGACTTGAATTTTAAATTACATGACTAATCTTTCAATTTAAAACTTCGATTAAAACTTAAGGCTATAAAATAAATGCAGACTTAAAATTTTACTCATAAAGTAAACGAAAGCACAGTGTAATTAGTGTCTTGTTTTTCTTTTGCTTCCAATTTCTAATTGCTTAATAATTATTTCAACTTACCGATATAAAAACTTCCTCCGCCTGCTGTAAAATGGCAACACGAGACCAGCCAAATTTCTTCATTAACTTAATTCTAGTGGGATTATGAACGGTTGCCGATGGATGGGTACGAAATAATGTGGGAAAGCGACTGCGATCCGATAAAGCTGGTGATGATGCGCCATAACATAGCTGTCGAAAAAAAAACAAAGAAAATACGAAAACAATTTAATAGGAGATGTAAAAAACAAATATTTTTTATATAAAATCATAATTAAGTCATTAGAAGGGATTTTGGTTATAAAATCACATTGAATTCATTGATTAATTAAATATATGTCACTATATTTCCTTTAACTTGGTAATTCTGATTATAGCCTTTGAATTTCATTTTACGCAACATACATATACTCCGGTGCAATTATTTTACAGTTATTTACTAATTTATGTCTTGAGTCAGGTTATAAGTGTCAGTATGAGTGTTCACTCAGCCACTTTCTTTAATCAGGATAGGGTATGTCGTCATCCTGGCGACCCTGTTAACTATGACAGAGAATATAAATTTTTATTTATGATAAGTAGAACAAAGCGAGCGACTGTGGTACATAATGGAGCACAAGGACTTTCATGTCTGTAAACTTCACAACACAATGGTTATCTTTTCATATAGGATTTCCATTAAAATAGAACCAGAATCTGAATGGGATAACACTTTTCTAAAGAATTCTTATTTTTGTCTTTTTACTCGATTTTGTTGCTTCGCGATATCATTTTGGAAGAACTTACTCACACATATAATCATACGACATACATACACATCATGTATATAGTATCGAAGGTATGTCATCACACATAAACAATATCACAGGTTGAAAGTTTTCTCTGTGCTGTCTTTTGTTATCAACTTGCGATGGTGCACAATTTTCTCCTGTCTTTTGAGAGAACGCATTCACAGCAATTGGGTAAAGTTTCAAGTGCCCTGAATATTCAACAAAATTCTTGCAGAATAAAAGCTAGAACACCTTGAATGTAAATGAGTGATACTTATAAAGGGGAGGAGGGCAGATGTTATTGAAAGTTCTACTCTTTATTTTGCGAAATAAGTTCATATCCTTTTATGCGGAATAAATAACTTTTTTTAACTTATATAATTTATAAAAAATACAAAAGAAAAATCTATATCGATATTATGTATGGAGTATATATACACAAAGATATACCTTTACATAAAATTTTTGTCAGAGGGATTGACTCTTATTAAGAACTCCTGTTACCAAATTTTAGAGAACTCTTTTTAAAATCTAAGTTAGATCCTCACAAGTTAAAAAGTATCTGTCAGTTTTGCCGACAGATGTATACCCTCAGGAAATGTACGATTATTTCAAAAAATATTTTGACTTCTGTTATGATTATTGAAATGTTTAACCCCTTATGGAGTAGGTCCCGAAGAAATGTGCCAATATTGGCCATTTCGTATCGGACATAAATAAATATGACGAATCGCGACGTGACAGGTATGGACTATATTTGTAACTTCCATTACTTTACATGACATACGTAATCATTTTTTGAAAATGTTAACATGTGCGTGAGATATAAGATATAGTTGACCGAAGTATTCATATGATACATATAAAATTATTGGTATGGGCAGTATTACAAGAAAATCGAACATTTATATCCAATTTATGGAAAATCATAAATTTCATATTCAACTTAGGTTTCTGACAAAGAGGGATATAGAACAGTGTTGGCTTGTTTGTTCGGGATAACGTAGTATTTTGTTGTTGCCTTACCCCTGGTAAACATTACTATCGTTCTCCACTAATAAACAGACGTTGTTTTTATAAAAACAACAATAAAGGGATAAAACCTGACCATTTTGCAACAACAACTGAGAGATTTATTTAGATATCGCTGACTTGTTTCGCAAGTTATGACAGATAAAAGTATGGAAAATTTTGACCCTTTGTGAGTCACGTACCAGGAGGGTTTCACAGATATTTAACATCTGCACATATCTGTTGTGTATTAGAAAAAGTGTTAGTATGTGTGGAACTTAAAGAGTGTTAAATGCTTACTCCGCTTTCCTTGATCGTTGTGTTTTTCATGAACTTGAACCCTATGGACAAATCTCTAGCATCTTTATAACAGATCTTGTGTTGATGGAAATATTGAGATATACCAAGTCTTGAATGGAATCGGATGTTAATTTTGCTTTTTATGAGTTTCATGGATATTCAAAAATTTCAGCTTTTGTGGACCGATATATTCCATCTTAACACTAGACCTTGGGTATATAAATAAGACAATCGGACTCTTACATCACTTTTTATAAAAGTTATAATTATTCAAAATTTTTACCCTTTGTAGGGGAGGCACTTGATGGAGTGGACCGATATTATCCATGTTTGCACCTGGTCTAGAACTGACGCATATATTAGAATTTACAAAGTTGGAACAAAATCGGATTATTGCTTCTCTTTCTGGAAATATTTTTTGCTCTTTTTTTTTTTTAAATCGACCTTTTGTGGGGGAGGTACCAGAAGGAGTGAACAGATGTATTCCACCTTGGCACCAGACCTTGGGCTAATAGAATTATTGGGATATGTGTAATTTTAAGACAATCGGACTCTTACATTACAGTGTATATGAGTTGTAATTATTCAACATTTTGACCCTTTGTGGGGGAGGTACCTGATGGAGTGGACCTATATTGTCGATTTTATTTAAATATAAGAATTCACAAAGTTGGAGCAAAATCGGCTTATCCTCTTTTTTTCTGTGCAATAAACTATTTTCTTTGAAAATTTTGACATTTTGTGTGGGAGGTACCAGAAGGAGTGGGCCGATATTTGCCCATCTCCGAACTCAATCTAATTTTGACAATAATATTACGATGTACAAACCTTGGATCAAATCGGATACTCCCTTTGAGAGTTATCGTGGTAGCCAAACAGACAGACGAACGGACGGATATCGCTAGATCGACTCCAAATGTCCTGAAACGGATTTGGTCCAAAGAGACCTATGGTCTTAAACCGTTATTTCGACTAGGCACGTTATCGTCGTATCAAATTATATATCCCTCTGTAGCCATATGAATATCAGGAGGTACCATTATGAGAGGGCAATACGAAATTGTGGAGCTATACAGGGTGAGACGGTGACTGCAACAAAGTCAAACGAATGAAAGCAAAAAATGACGGAAATAGCATCAAATATTAGAATATGTTCAGATTTGCTCGAATTGGTCACCCTTGGCACGAATTATGGCCTTCAAACGGCCAATAAAACCGTCACAGGCTGCCCAAATGTTGCTCTGCAGTTTTTTGGCCCATTCCCGGCGAAGCGCTTGCTTGAGGTAATCGACACTTTGGTATTTTTTAGTGCCTACCTTGCTTTCCAAAAAATACTCTAGACATAAAAGTCCAGCAGATTGGTATCCGCAGAATTGGTGGCCATTGTGCGTTGGAAATGAAGCGAGGAACCTCATTTTGTAACCATTCTTGGGTGGCGCGTGCTGAGTCCTGTTGGAATGTCCACGGTAACAAATTATTCAAAATGGACTTGCTACCGATAGCAGACAGCTCTGCAAAATCTTTGTTTTCTATTTTGTACTTATATTAATCTAAATTTTGGTAAAGCCCCACATTTTTTTCAATTTGCCATTATTTGTTGTTTGAGGTTCACATTAAAAGCGTCAACTTCATACACAAAAATTTTGAAATTGGTTCACGTTTTGGTGTGGAACCACGCAACGGCACCTATTCTGTTACTTTTTTCAAAGTTTCAATGAAAATTGAAAATGGAATTAAGTGTAATTTAGTATTTCTTTACAGTTCGATATCGGTCCACGTCTTGGCGTAATCTCAGTCTAACCAAATGCCCGATTTCAAGTATTTTCATTTCGTACCTCTATTATTTAAAAAAATATTTCGACATCGGTTTATGTTATGCTGCGCTATATGACACGGTCCAATTCAGATCTTTCTGAGGATTTTTAACATATTTTCCAACGGCATCATCCCCATATATGGGACATTTAACATTTTCCAATCCAATCAGCTACAATTTTGTATTTAACAGTTCCGATTTTAGGTATTTTAAAGGCTCCTCCTTATACTATGTATATTGCTTCATTTTTAACTATTTGTGGTCGCGATACTAGCCACCATACCTCAATCTTCAAAAGTTTCCATTAAGTTCGAGTTTTAACCAAAACTAAACCATCGAATATATTTCTAGTGGTTCTTGTGTTTTTATACCATCATATGTCATAAAGGATGTGCTCTTCAATTGACACTCATATTGGGGTAACTGTAAACGATGTTCATCGGATTCAGAAACAAGTAAAAAACATTTATGAGTTTTGCCTTGTTAAGGCGAAGATCATATGTTTTATGATTTAAGTGTTTGTTTTCTCTTTCGAGACGAGCTTAATGATCTGAAATTTGCAGTGAAAAGGAAAGCCAGATAGACACTATCACACACTCACCACTATGCGACGCGTTTCGCCGTTGGTTAAGCGGCTCATCAGGCATATTTGATGTGGATGATGGCTTAAAAGGGCCGTTCTCTGGAAAGTAGTATATATTTCGAACTTATTGCAAATTAGCATATGCGAATTATACACTAGAAACTCTCCAGGTTCGACTCAAGTTCTATTGGCAGATCTTTTTTCACAGCAACGTTTTTGTTTTTTGTAGTGATGGATTTTTTGTCCACAACAACTACATTGCTTCCAATGCATACACTTGTTTTAGTGCTGCTTTAGGAAGACGGGTTAATGGCTCTGAACGTAGAGACGGCAACTTCTAGTTGGCTGCACACAGAGGTCCGCGGTTCAAATCCCACAGCCAGGCTCGGCTGAATTTTTGAGTTTTGCCTTGTTAAGGCGAAGATCATATGTTTTATGATTTAAGTGTTTGTTTTCTCTTTCGAGACGAGCTTAATGATCTGAAATTTGCAGTGAAAATTGTTGAGCCAAACCCTCCAATATTTTGAAGGACCTTGAAAAAAAATCCAAAAATACCGCTTAAACGGATTATATAGGCATTATAGGCATTGTCCGTATATATATCGTTAAAATCATCAAATCGAGAAACAAAAAACTCCATGTGTGAATTTTCAGACAACACCATTGAAAAATTTGGCTACAATCATCAAAATACCGAATACCGTTATTCGTGCTGTGCAGTTTTAACCTTCTATCTTTATTTGTTTTGGCTACAGCGTGTTTATAACTTATGGACGGAAGTCCCATTAACGAACTTAACCTGCCTACAAAATACACATGTGTGTACAATTTTAGACTTTTATCTCAATTCAGACAGACAGGCAGACTGACGTACATCGCTAATTCATCTAAGAATTTTACGCTGATCCAGAATATATACCTTGTAGTGTCTATCATGAATAATTCGAAGACAAATTAACAGCTACATTGAACATGGACATAAGAACATGAGGATCTTTCATAACAATTTAGGCGACAGTTAAGAATGGGCACATGGAGCCTTGAACCAGCGAATACGACAATATTCTATTCTAACTTTGCAGGATGTCTACATTTAGAAATAGAGTAACTTGAACCGGACTTTTGGATATATTTTGGCTTCAATATACATATATGTTCGACACACACAACCTCTATATTTGAACTCCTTAAAATAACAATTTCTTCCTAGCCTTATTTGATAAACACGTTTGTTACCGAATGAAATCAATTTTTCGTTACTCTTCGGCAAAAAAGAAACAAATCGATTTCCATTTCACATTTCCGTGCACTCAACTATTTCTGACATCATCATTTTTTATTTATTATTTTGTTATGATTTCTTTTGCGTTTTGCCACAACTCAATTTTATTTTTCGCCCTGCAATAAACTTAACGAAGGCAATAAATCATAAATTGAATTCAATAAATTTTCGTTATTTGTTCGCAATAACTGACTGTGTGTGTGATTCTCTCAAAGTTAGGTGCAAAATGTTTAGAAACCACATAGCATAGCAAAGGGATTTTTTTCTAATCTCATTTCAAAGATTTGGCAATGGATTTAAGTTTTAAGAAAAAGAAGAAGAAGAAATAAATATTTCATTCTTAATACTTACCACAATAAGATTCCACATTTTTGCGGCTTCTGCTACTGTTGTACAGACGGTACTACAACCGGCCAATAACATAAGTTTCTGTGGTTTATTATAGAGTAGATTGTACATAACGCTGGCACCCAAACCGGGTTCACACTGAAAAATTAGAAAGGGAAAGGGGAAAATTTTAATAATGAAATTTAATATATTATTTTATTATTTTACAGTTTGCAAAATTTGTTAAGATTGTGGCGATTGTTAAGTATTTAGTTTTTCCTTTGTAGGCCACAAAGAATTTTAATTAAAACATTTTTAAGGGTTTTTGCGAAAGAATATAGAGATTAAAATATATAAGTTTTAGTTATAAGTAAGGTATGTAGGCGAAGTAATAATATTTGTTGATCGAATACCCCAGATGGGAAAATTTAACTTTTAACAAGTAAAAAAGCAGTAAGTTCGGCCGGGCCGAACTTTGAATACCCTCCACCATTTTTCTCTGTCGAGGTATAAAGTACCCACAAGAAACTCCTTGTGTGGATTTTCAGACAATTCCGATAAAAAACGTGGGTAATATCATAAAAATACCGAATATCGGGGGGTACCGTTATATAAGGGATATACCATATCGTGGACCTGTATAGACAATTCTTTCTCAGGGGGTGAAGTACTCACAAGGAACTACTTGTGTGGGTTTTAAGAAAATTCCATTGAAAAATGTGGCTAACATCATCAAAATACCGAATATCGAGGGGTACCGTTATATGGGGGCTATACGATATCGTGGACCTATACAGATAATTCTCTGCGGGATATAAAGTACCCACAAGGAATTACTTTGGTGGATTTTCAGACAATTCCATTGAAAAATGTGGCTAACATCATCAAAATACCGAATATCGGGGGTACCGTTATATGGGGGCTATACGATATCGTGGACTGATATACCCTATCTTCGAACTTGACCTGCCTGCAGACAAAAGAGAGATCTGTGCAAAAATTTAGCTTCCTATCTTAATTCGTTTAGACTGTAGCGTGATTACAACAGACGGACAGACGGACGGACAGACGGACGGACAGGACTAAATCGTCTTAGAATTTTACGCTGATCAAGAATATATATACTTTGTTGGGTCTAAAAAACTTAATGTACCCTCCATACTTTTTTGGTGGAGGGTATAAAAAATCCACATTTGTTTTAAAGGGGATAAGTATGAACGAAGTACTTCTTCTGGTTATGTACAAAAGTTAGATAACTGTAAGTATAAGATAGTTTCATAGCTTAAAGACGATAGCTTCACGTAATGATTCAAAACGTTGTCAGGGCCGACTATATGATACCCTACACCATTTTGCGCATATAGTAGAGCTACCTGTAACAAATAACATGACGTATATCGTACCAAGTGTGATCGTCATTGATTGCGTGTTACGTTTTTAGAGCGTGTTCAATTTGAGGATGCGATTTTTTGACGACCTGTCGTATAAGTTATAAGAAGCTAGATAGTTTCATACGATGTGCCGATAGAGTATCCAAAGTTTTGAACTACATATCCAAACTTTATATAAGACCTTGTTAAGAAATAATGTTGCCATGTGAGCAGTTTGAAAAGAGCTGGTGAAAATTGTTTCCATTTTAAAGTAGTTATGATAATTAAAATGTAAGCCAATCTTCCTTGAGGTACCAGGAGGTGTGTGCCTCTTCATACGGAATTTAATATTGTTTTCTTTTTATATGCGAAGTTTGAAGAAAATCTGAAATTTATTGTATTTTTTACTAGACCTATTATGAAATAAGCGGAAAAAACGTAAGTTCAGCCGGGCCGAACTTTAAGTAGACTCAACCATTTGAAGGGAATATGCAAATTTTCGAAAAAAAAAAAAAAAACAGTTGAAAAGTATTTCTAAAATCATAAAAATACCGAATATAGGGAGTTACCGTTATATGGGACATATACGAAGACGTGAACCTTTTGTCTTAGAATGTAGTACCTATTAGGAACTTCAAATTCGAAATTTGGAGCACTTCCGCTGAAAAGTCTGACACAAATCTTTAAAATGCGGAATATCTGGAGGTACAGTTATATGGGAACTACACCAAAAGTTATACCTATATTTACAGTTCTACAGTTCTATGCAAGGATGTTTCTTACATAATGATAACACATGCTGCCAATTTACAGCATATTCGCGCTAAAATTGTAACTAATACACCCAACATATTATGCATATAATACTACTCATACTATATAGCCCATTTTTAATACCAAAAGTTCTGCAGACCCAAAACACTTCAGAGTAAAATTTTATCAACATTCTTCATTTTGTTCCGAAGCTAAAGTGACTTCCACCGGCGGAGGATATCGCTAAATCGACAAAGAATTTAATGCTGATCATTTAAAAAATTTCCACATTCGCTCTAATTATTATTTAAAAAATTTTGACCTTTTGTGTGGGAGGTGCAAGGAGTAGTACTTGTCCTAAACTTTATCGAAATAATATCATATGCCAGATATTTTGATACAAAGCAGTTGAATTTTTTTTGGAAAAACTTTAAAAAATTGTGTTCAAGGCATCAGGAGGAGTATACTGATCTTGTTCATTTGCGAACTCAAAGTTTGGATAAAATTGGATGTTCCCATCTAGAATTATATACTCAAAAGCAGACATATATTTTTGCGTATATGACCTATAAGCATATGGATCGATTAAAAACTGTGGTTATATATTTAAAATGTTGATTATTGGGAGTTGTTCTTATATAAGGGCTAATGTAAAACGGAACCTATATGGATAGTTTAATACCTTTGGAGTGGTGCCCGTTAAAACCCTTATATTTAAAAATCGCTAACATCATAAAAAGGTTAAATATGGGGGGAATACCAATATGTGAACCTTTTTAGGACATTTTGTGCCCATTGTGAACTCGTAATATCACATTTAAAACAGTATCTTTAAAGAAAATATGGCTTACGCTGTAAAAAAAAAACGGAATATCCGGAAGAAAATTTGCATCGGGTTTATAAGGAACAGCGGCTTAGAAATCGAGTTTCCTAACCAAACCCTATATTTCCTTCGTCACTGATTTTAATTCCTATATTAAATTCGATAATGAGCATATTGACAGTAAGGAAAAAACTGGTAAAAATATTGGATTTTATCCCCTTTTAAAAAATACGTAATGTTTTAAAATTTCTACAGAAAGCAAATATATTACAACTGTAACAGATGCTCCGTCAATTTTTATACCCCGCACCATAGTATGGAGGGTATATTAAGTTTGTCATTCCGTTTGTAACACCTCGAAATATACACATTTTAGACTTCACAAAGCATAAAAATTCTATATCGATTTAGCGATGTCCGTCAGTCTGTGGAGATCACTCTAGCTTCCGAACGAATTAAAGTTGATTGATAAAATTTTGCTCAAATGAATATTATATCTGCAGGACATTTGGTATTGAAAATGGGCCATGTAGGTCCACGTTTTGGTATAGCCCCCATATAACGGTGCCTCCCGATATTCGGTATTTTGATGATTTTAGCACCATTATTCACCGGAATTGTTTCTAGCTTGGTATTTGAAGTAATGGATACAAGGACAGGTCTATGTCGTCGTATAGAAGCTAATAAACAGCTACATTCGGTATTTTTAAGATTTTAACACCATTTTTAACGGATTTTATTGTTTTTGAGAAGTACCAAGTTCGTTCCAAATGGTGGGGGGTATTCAAAGTTCGGCACGAACTTATAGCTTTTTTTACTTATTTTTGTTGGGTAGGTAGGATTATAGCATTTAGCCATATTTTGCAACAGAATTATCTGAAAATTTACACAAAGAGTTCATTGTGAGTACTTTATCCCCTGGAAGAGAATTATTTATATGGGTCCACGATATCGTTTAGCCCCCATATAACGGTACCCCCCCCCCACCCCCCTTATATTCCGTATTTTTATGATCAATGAAATGGTCAGAAGATTCTCACAAGAAGTTCGTTGTGAGAACTTTATCCCCTAGAAGGGAAATATTTACATAGGTTGTCTTAAAATCCTTAAAAGAAGTTTTTTTTATGTACATTACCCCTGGAAGAGAATTATTTATATAGGTGCACCGTATCGTATAGTCCCCATATAGCGGTACCCCGCGATATTGTTTTTTTATTGATTTTAGCCACATTTTCCAATGGAATTGTCTAAAAATCCACGCAAGGAGTTGATTCTGAGTATTTTGCTCTCTGGAAGAGAATTATTTATATAGGTCCACGATATCGTATAGCCCATATATATAGGTACCCTGTGATATTCCGTATTTTTATGATTTCAGGCAAATTTTTCAATGGAATTGTCTTAAAATCCTCAAAAGAAGTTCTTTTTAAGTACATTACCCCTGGAAGAGAATTATTTATATAGGTGCACGGTATCGTATAGTCCCCATAAAACGGTAACCCGCGATATTCGGTTTTTCTATTGATTATAGCCACATTTTCGAATGGAATTGTCAAAAAATCCACGCAAGGAGTTGATTCTGAGTACTTTACTCTCTGGAGGAGAATTGTTTATATAAGTCCATGATATCGTATAGCCCCCATACTACGGTACCCCCGATATTCGGTATTTCGATGATTTTAGCCACAATTTTGAATGGAATTGTATAAATGGTACACAAGGAGTTCTTTATGAGTAGTTTACCCCCTGACAGAGAATAGTCCGAGGAGGTTCCCCGCACTTCCAGTGCACAATGGTCACCAAAATCTCCGAATACCAATCCGTTGGACTACTGTGTCTGGAGTATTTGGAAAACAAGGTTGGCTCTAAAAAATACCAAAGTGTCGATCACCTCAAGCAAGCGCTTCGCCGGGAATGGGCCAAAACACCATAGAGCAACATTCGCACAGCGTGTACAGGTTAGAAGGCCATAATTCGTGTCAAAGATGACCAATTCGAACAAATTTAAACATATTATAAAATTTGATTCTATTTTCGGCAATTTTGGCTTTCATTCAATAAAATTTAAAAACAAAATGTAAAAATTATGGCGTTCGATTTTGTTGTAGTTTTTTATCTCAACCTGTATTACCTATTTAGATAACTTTTTGTCATACTCTACTTGAATTTAAATCTTGCATTTTCCTAAAATATATAGCTCCATTGACAGGTGA